AAGGGCAAAGGAGTACTATCAAATCAATGGAAGACAGAATTAATGAGATTGAAGATAAATACCTGAATACTTCTTTGGAAAGGGATCAATCAGAAAAAAAGATCAAAACAAAATGAAGAAAGGCTAAGTAAGGTTCATGTGGTATACCATCAAAAGGAATAACCTATGTGTAATCAGAATTCCAAGACAGGAAGAGACAAATAAAACCACTGAGAAAATTGTGCAAGATTTGTTGGAAAAGACCTCCCTGATATGATGAAAGACGAGAATGTATCCATTCGGGAAGTCCAACGAACCCCAAAGAGGATAGACTCCAAAAGAAAATCACCAAGACATATCATCAACAAACTCACCAAAACCAAAGACAAAGATTCCTGAAAGCAGCATGGGAAAAACGTGAAGTTACCTACAAAGGGCAACCAATAAGAATAACCTCTGATTTCTCAGCAGAAACCATGTAAGTGAAAAGACAATGGAATGGTATATATAAAACCCTGAAAGAGAAAAGTTTCTAACCAAGAATTATATACCCAGCAAAATTGTCCCTCAAATATAATGGTGAAATCAGGAGATTTCCAGATAGGCAGAAGTTAAGGGAATTTGTTAAAACCAGACCAACCATACAAGAGATATTAAAGGAAGTCCTTTGAACATAGAACCAATAATAGCAAACAACAGCCAGCCGACCATTAATACACAAGATGACATAACCCAGAAACCAACAAAGCCATGGATGTATCCAAAGTAAAATAAGCTTACAAGATTGTAAACAGGGAACCAGAGACATCAATTGGCAAATGAGGACAACTACAAACCAAAAAGAGGGGGGAAATAGTGTAGTTATAGAACTTCTAAATAGTGAGGAAGTCAAGAGAGTTGCAAGATAGAATGGACTGTTCTAAACTCAGGAAAAAAATTCTAAATCACAGGGTAACCTCAAAGAAAAGTGATAAACCTTCACATCACAATAAAAAAGAGGACAAGCATGAATATTTAGCAAATACTAAAACAATAGCAACAAAGGAAATGATAACATGATTTATAAACATAATGAGCTCAGCACAGAAAATTACGTGGAACAAAGAAACCAGGAACACCATGAAAAAAAAAAAGTAACAAAATGAAAGCAACCGATTCATACTTGTCAATAATTACACTGAATGTTAATCAATTCAATACACCACTCAGGTGATGGAGAGTTGCAGACTG